GGTTTTTGGTTATTAGTGTTCAATGCTTCAAATCTATTCTTCAGATGGTCTCTAAATTCAGGTGGGATATAATCAAGGTCATATTTTGACTCTTGTGGACTTGTTTTAATTGTCTTCAGCTTCAACTTGAACTTGCATATGAGCAATTGATGGTCTGTTCCACAGTCAGATGCTGGCCTTGTTTTGGCTGAAGATATTAAGCTTCTCCACTGCCTCTTTCCACATATATAGTCAGTCTGATCTCTGTGTACTCCATCTGGCAAAGTCCATGTGTATAACCACCACTTATGTTGTTGAAAAAAGGTATTTGTAATGAATAAGTCATTGGTCTTGCAAAAGTCTGTCATACGACCTCCGGTGTCATTTCTATCACCAAGACCATAATTCCCAACTACCAATGATTCTTCTTTGTTTCCAACTTTCACATTCTAATCACTAGTAATAATCAATAACAAACATGGTTGCATGTTTGGTCAATTTCAGAGGGCGGAAGTTGGTAAAAATCTTCAGTTTCTTCGTGTTTGGCTTTAGTTGTTGGTGTGTAAATTTGAACGATAGTAATATTAACTGGTCTTCTTTGTAGATGTATGGATATTATCTTATCACTGATAGCATTGTACTTCAAGATAGATCTTGAAACATTTTTTGTGACAATGAATGCCACACCATTACTCTTCAGTTTGTCACTCCTGGCATAGTAAGTCATATGGTTGTCTCATTCAAAATGCCCATACCAATTCATTTCAGCTCACTAACACTTAGGATATCAATCTTCATGTGTTGCATTTCATTTTTGACAACTTCCAATTTTCCTAGATTCATACTTCATACTTCCATGGTCTGATTATTAATGGAAGATGTTTCTTCTGGTTTTGGGTCATCCCCCATCAGCAAATGAAGGTCCCGAAAGCTTTACTCCCTCTGCATCACTAAGGTCAACTCTCCTTTGAGGAGGCAGCTCTTCCCCAGTCATATTTTGAGTGTTTTCCAACATGAGGGGCTCATCTTCAGGCACTGTATCAGACAATGTTTCATGGCTAGTCATAAAGTTTTCCATTAATACATCAGACAGTGTTTCACTACTCTTCTAAGATTTTCAGTGGCCAATATTTTCAGAAGTGGATAGCCCCACCCTTCTTCCCAGTCTGTCCTAGTCTGGAAGCTCTGCTGAAACTTCTCCACCATGGGTGACACTGCTGGTATTTGAAATACCAGTGGCACAGCCTCCAGCCTCACACCAATATGCAGCCACCACAGTAGGACAAACTGACAGACGAGTTGTGGTAGTTTCAGTTATATGACTTAACAAAAATTATCAGAAAGTTCATAAACCAAAGTATCTAAAATAGCCCAGTCCTTTCTTCTTGTCTGTGATGACATGGATGGATCTCAAAAACATTATGCTGCGTGAAAGAGGTCAGGCACATTTTATACACTCTAGCACAGTGCCTAAGGCACTTGACTGCTAACCAGAAGGCTGGCGGTTCAA